TTGCTGACAACATCTAGATACAATGAGGCGTAAATGGGAGATAGCTGCAGAGTGTTCTCAGCAAGGGTTCTCATTTCATCCAAAATAGTCTTCACCTATACCTTTGGGAAAGCTTCACAGTTCCGGGGCTTCAAAGAAGGTGATTTAAAGAAAGCGTAAATGAGAGATAGTGATAATCCTGATGAGGTCATAGAGTTAGTCTGACTTAAGACAGCGCTAAATGTTTCTTTTTTGAAAGGTCAGAAATAATCATTATAACACGTGGACCTTAATCAAATGGATGAAATTAAAATAGTCTAAACAGATAGTTAAATATTTACCCGTGTGTTTTCAGATATCTCCAAGCACCATCAATACTTCCACCATTACATCCATGTTGATTCCTGGTATCACAAGAGATCAAATTCTGAACGGAAAGGTTGTCTGTGATCACACCTTCAGAATGAATTGCAATTCTATCTGCTGCAACACCTGTTTTGAAAGACATTTCTGTTATCAAAAGTAAATAATTATTCATGAAAGCTCTCTGATCATTGTGAAAGGTGGCCTGAAACAAAACATTAATATTTTCAATCTGTGTGGGTGTCCTTACAAAACAATTGGGATATAATGTGTACAGAATTTTGATGGAGATAATTGTGAAATTACAAAGATAAGTGAGCAAGTTTGCTGTAATATTGTAAATCCATAGATTTACTGGTTATCATAACATCCCATATGATCTAGTCTGATAGTCTAGTCCGTGTTTGTTAATGCACATCCATCTCTGGTTGATTTCAGCAGAATATGCAGATACTTCCTACCTCTCTGCAGATAACTGTCCAAGTTCCTGTTATTCAAGAGTCACTTTCTATATTTCCTTCCTTCACTTGGGGAAAAAAACCCAAAAATGAACAGTCCTATCAAGAATAAAATTCAAGACTGAAAGTATGTATTGGATTTATTGGATAGAAATTTTGGAAGTTTTGTTTTTGAAAGTTTTGGAATTGCTCATATTATTGCATAAGTGTGGGATGCATTGAACTCCCTTTCCTTATCATGGAAAATTCTACTTCTGAGATAGTAATCTTAGATGTCTACACTAGATTAGAAAGTCATGGTTCTAAGTACTAATATAGTCATGCACTGATTTAAAGGCAGACTAGAGTAACTAAATTGTAGGTGAAATAAGACTCTTCTGTTTCATTTTTTAATGAAGGCTCAATCACAATCATTACCGGTACTGAAATTATAACTTTTATCATTAGCTCTTCATTTTTGAGCCTGAAAATAAAAATCTACATTGAAATCTAAAGCCTAATCAAAATCAACACTGACTTCAGTGAACTTTAGACCAGCCTTCAGAAAAAAGAGGAAGGGCAAATGAAGTCAGCTGACAGTGACTCTGTTTTACACTGTCATGACATGTAACACAGTGAAACTATTTTCATGGTTAGAAAAGGTTTTTTTTTTTTTTTAAGGATTTTGGAATTCTTACAGAAATTACAATAAGAAGATATGATACAGCAATGCTTCCATATTCTTTGAATGAGAATTAATTTTACAAAGAAGGTTGAAAATTTATATTGAATCTATTAGAATTACCTCTACGCCATGGGAAGGGAGCTGATAATATTTAGCATTGAAAATCATGATGCGAATTAAAATCAGAGGAATCATTTATTAAAGAGGAAATTCAGGCTGAGCATCTGGAAAGCTTTGCTCAGTGCATTTTATTCATCTCTGCAGTAATCTGTCAGGAGAGCTGTTAGCTGTCTTGATTTTCTCATTTATAACCACAATGGACAAGGTACTTCGGTAACAGAGTGTGTTTAGTTTGGCTTTGGCAGAAAGTTGGGATTAACTAACCTAAATGTTCCTTTCCTTTTCTTAACATTGTGATTTACAGCAGCAGTTGCAGAAACCTGTGCCCATGAGAATCCGCTGGTAGGACCAAGTCATAAGGATTGTATAAATTTTTTCTCTATCTTTATAAGTCCCAATATGTACTGAGATTTCTTACCGCTTAAAAAAAATTGAACAGAACTAATCTCTATAGTTCCCTTGGAGAAGGGCATACAAATGCTCATGAGTCCATTTTTCATAAAACTGGAGGCTGTAGCAGTGTAACTCAGCCTCAGGTTCTGACATTTCTTTATTTACAGAATATAAAAATAATTTCTTACATAAATATCTGAGCAGTATCAGTGTTTCTCCTCATAAAATTATTGAAAATATTATACTTCATTTACTTGAATAGTAAGATTAGATAATGGCAAGTGCACAAATATAAAAATATATGGGGAAAAAAAAGCCTCCTTCTTTTAGTCTTTCCAGAAAAGTATGTAGTTGTTCAAGCAGGTCATATAGGTTTTTTAAAACTTACTCTACTAGTAATGGTAAAGGGCTCTAGTCAATTCATTCTCTACTTTCTTTTACCAGCAAGACTCCCACTGATGTGCAAATTTATGAAAAGCAAAGAAAAAGGCTCTGCAACTTAGTTTCTTAAGTCATTGAAACGTCTCAGAGGGAAAGGTGTAGTAATTTTAAATGCTGCTATTTGCTGATAAAAAACGAACAGCAAGCTGAAATCACTTTCTTACTAATCTGTACAAGTTTCTGTCACACTTGTAACATACAATGACATTTTAAAAAGGAAATGAAACTGATATTACTTGCAGTTGAAAAAGCCCAGGATGCTCCACAGTTTCGTTGATCCAAAGGATCATGAATCCACTCAGGCCATGCATAAGTGGCTGCAAAAAACGCAGGAAATTTTTCTTCTGGTAGTGAGTTTCTCTAAAACAAAGTGTACAAGACCAAAGTGTATTTTATTTCCATACTTAGGAATGCATTAAGAGTAAATTTGACCCTAATTTTGCCTTAAAAATTCTTAATTTTTAAATTGAGAAAATGGAAAGCATTAGAAGCTGTGGTTTCCAGTACGTCCGTTTGGAGGCTGGGCGCTCCATGAGTTTGGCAGCCTTCGAGCCAGGGCTCGGGTTTCTGGCGCTCCAGCCGCTCAGATGGAAAGCTCAGCTCCGCATCTGCCAGCTAGGCAGGGTTTGGTGAGAAACCAGCCTGCTGCCTATCTCATTTTTATCCCAACCAATATTTACCTATGAAACACATCGGTTATCACCCAGCTGGCATTTTTGGAAGGAAGAGCCTTCTGCTGTGAATAGCAGTAAGGTTATGTACCTGCTACCCTCTTTACCTTGATATGAATTACATATGAAGCGAATTACATATCAAGTGAATGTCTTTCCTTGTGCCTGGAGATACTAATTACCACAGGGGAGGAATTAGTAGAGTGTATGGGTGATTCCTCTTTTACAAAGAGGTTTTTCAATCTCCAGCACTCATTCTTATTCCAGAATGAAAACTAGTGTTTTTTCTTTTGCTTCACGATCTGATGGTGAGCTGATGAGAACTCATGGCCTGTTCAGTATGTCCGTTTGGCCATCCTCTTCTTGGTATCTTCATCTCTCAGCCTTAAGTTACGTCCTCCACACTTTGCTTGAATAGCCACATCTGCGAGCACAATTTGGTGTAACTACTCAATCTGCTCTGTTTGACATACCAAACGACAGACCTTTTTTTCCAATATTGCCAGACTTTGTGGACTGCTTGCTGTACTGAGTGGCAACAATGGTCCATCCAGTCTAGCAGTGTCTCTCGATTGTGGAAAGCATTTTTTTCCAGAGAAAATACAAGGAAATCTGCATTTATAAGATAATCTGCTCCCAAGACAAACATTCCCTGATTCTTCTTTATTATAAGCAGGCTTATGCCCTGAAGCACAATAGCTTCTATTCTGTTTACAATCCTTTATTTTATTTCTATTTATTTATCCTCAGTCTTCTAATTCTGGGTATCCTTGCTGCATCCTTTTTCTGAAGTGCTTAAGTGACTTACAAGGCTTTTTCCTCAGGTTATTTAAACATTTTAGCCCAGTTTTTTCAAGCTGTTTCAGGACTCTCGGGGGGAACTGCTTTAGCAATGTGGCTGTGTCACGATTGCTTCGCGGTATGTCTTGGGAAACGCCAGTGCCTCCATCCAGCTTGGATTTCCTTCCCAAGGAAAACTAAAGGTGGAGAAGAAGTGAGGGAGGGAGAGAAGAGACCGTGTACCTCAGGTCTTTATCTGATATTAGACTGGGATACAGTATGTGCACACAC